TTTTTTTTTTTTTTTTTTTTTTTTTTCTTTCTTATCCCGAGAGCAAAGAGATGAAATGATGAAATCTCTTGGTATTATTGGTGGTTTTTTTGTTTCCTCTCTCTGGGGAAACGTACGGATATACCTTCGGGGATGGAATGTTCGTGATAACTATTTCTTTAAAAAAGAAAAGTTAAATTTTGAGTCATGAATTCTTAGAGAGAAACTATTTATTTATTATTATTTTTTTTTTTGTACTTTGATATCTAAAACTATTACAATAGTACTTTATTTTTTTTTATGGAAGAATTGGGTCCTTAATTACATCAAAAAGTTGAGTAGAAAAAAAATATGTTACACAACTTGATCTCTTAGGGAGGTTGATCTTCTAAATATTGTGCGTGCTCTCCCTTTCCGCTGATCTAGTATTCCTATAAATTCAAACTTGAACTTCTAATCGTCGTATTTAATAACACTAGGTCATACTGCACGTCGGTTCTTAGACATCTACGTTCTTAGACATCTACCAATATACGTAAAGACATCAATGACATTAATTGATATGAAGTATAAGAAACCCTTTCCTTCTATCTTGTCCTATCCTAAAATTAGAGGCTAAAAGTCACGTTTGCTTAATCTAATTCTTCTCTCTCCCTTGATTACTTATTGCTACTTGTTTTTTCTCTCAACGTTTAAAATATATATTCCTTAATTTATCTCTAAAATATTGATCTCTCTCCCTTCATTACTTATTTCTATTTATTTTTTCTCTCAACGTTTAAAATATATATTTCTTAATTTATTTTTCCCTCCTTTTTTCACTTCTAAGATTTCTCCCCCCAACTTTTTCACTTACACCTTTCCCTAACATTTTTATTTAAAATAAAAAACGCTATAAAAATAAGTCTTCTTATAGATAATTATCAAATAACATTCTTTTTTTTAGTTTTGTATAGAATGAAAAAAGAATGTTCAGTGGCATTTTCTGTTTTCTATCGATTAAAAAGTAGGGAGAGAAAAGAATAGAGGGTAGAAAAACCAATAACCAAAAATTTTCGGTTATCATACAAAGCCTCAACAATCTATTAAACTTTTAAATTTAAATTTTGGAATTGTAAGTGAATTTTAAAACTAAAACTCTTTCTTCAAAATTCATTTTCTTCTCATTCATTCATTTTTTTCCATCTTAGAAAATCTATTTTTCCATCTTAGGAAATCTTCTTAACTCATCTTTCTTTTTTGTTGCATCATTCATTCTCTTTTAAGTTTATCTCCAATTCTAAAAATATTTCCTAAACTTCAAGTACTTTGTAATGAAAGAAATACATTTGTAAATTAAAATTTTCTATTTTATTTAATTATTTTTTTTAAAAAAGAATAGAAATCCTATATAGCACCCTCCCACTTGAAAGTTAAAGATTACATATGAACGCTTATGCCGTATAATCATGTTAAATGGTCGGAACAAAAGATTGTATAAAGCCTAGTACTAAACTGAACCGTGTAGCCCTTTTATTAAGAAAAATGTTCTGCCAAATAGTTGTATAAACATAAGGGGAACACATCATATTTACCTTAATTGTTTTGAGCAAGAAATTTGAAATTATCTCATTACGAGCTTTCTGAAATGCTAGCACCAAATTATTGCTAAGATTATTGATCTTTTTGTTTAGAATTCTTGTTCTATTAATATGAATAATTTTGAGAATTTTCTGACTTTGTAGATGTGCAAGAAAGAGAAAAAGAAAGAAAAGCGTTGGTAGAGGAACAAACCTCTGCGACATGTTGCAGTTGCAATTACTTCGCTTCAAAGCTTTATGCCTCAAATTCAACATCAACGCGGAGTCCAGTTGTATATTGGTTCGAACTCATTCCTAAAAGATAGTGCAAGATGTAAACTATCGAAAAGTATGCACACAATAAAGCAACATGCAGAAGCTTTTAGTCTCAATGTTTTATTAACAATGTTTAAGTTTCGCTCATGACTCTCAAACCTATATTACTAGAAACAAGAAACGTGTACACAGCCCTTTTGATCAATCTTTCATGGTCAAAGTAACCAGGAATTTTATCAAATTCATCATGCAAATTTAAAAATGGTTAAAATCATTTTTGTCATAGCCATGTCAAAATTGAATTTGAATTTTTTTTAACCAAATTGAATTTGAATCATTTGATGCATGTTCTAAACTCACAAAAGCAGTTCAGCAATTTCAAAATCCCCTCTAAATATATATTTGACCATAACATTTATGGCTTCAATTAGACATCCAAACCAAACCAGTTACACCCTTGATGACCATAAGTTGATGGAGTACTTCGGACATGTAAAATACAAGTATAGAAGCGTATAAAACAAGTATTCATCATACTAACGTTTTAAAGATTAGTTAAATGATTCATCTAAAGAGATTTCTATCTATTTTAGAATTCTCAAACCACATTTGATAATCAAGGTTGTTAAAAGACACTCCTAATAGGTACAATCACTCTAAAAACTTTAACCAAATACTAAGTCTTCGCAACATACTTTTAGTCATCTACAAGTACTTGGTAAAATACAGACTATAGATGCTTCTAGTTTCTAGAATTCACATATCACCACAATCAAATATGTTAAACTTATTAAAACTAAATCACAAAAATGAAACAAATGAGAGAATACTGGCAGAGAGATATTAACAAGAGACTCGTTACTGTAGAGAGACTAGTACAAACAAGTGTGTGTGAAGAGAGTAAATTCGAGAAGGAAGGTAGTGTCACGAAAATTAGCGAGATAAAATGGGAACGAAGCGGGAGAAAGAAATGGTGCGAGAAGAGAAATTAACGAGAAAAAAACTGTCAAAAAAGATATTAGAAAGAGAAGAATTAGAGAACGAAAGTTTGACAAAGAAAGTGTTGAACAAAAAAAAAAGAAAAAAAGACATGAACTAATTTCTTTTTTTTGAAAATGGTGTTCTTACTTCATTGAAAAGAGTTTTAAAATAGTAACCAAACACAAACATCTGAATAGGAACTAGGAAGTGCTTCGGATCACTTAGACGGTCAAAAATGTTTATTAGAGAATGCACAAAACTTAAGTTGAGAATTACCTAAATTGTCTTGCGTTATATGAATATTATTTGGTTTCTATGACACTGTACATGCAACCTATTTCTTAAGTGTTGTACATGTGAGAAGATGTGAGTGGGATATTCTCAATAAAAAAATATTATATAGCGCAAGACCGAGATACATATTTCCCCTCTAGACAATATATAAAATATATCAATCATAATTTCCTCAGAAAAATATACAAGTTCTCTCATCTGTATGAAAATAAACGAGGATCTCTTCTTTAGAACTAAGGATAAGGAAAAAGTGAGTTTTTAGTTCAAATCCCTTAATAAAAGTTTGTTCCATCAAAATTTTCAACTCTTCAATTGTTTTGATTAAAGATTGTGGGGATTCCAACACTAATTCTTGGAGGACTTTCTTATCTCGACCTAATTGTGCAAAAAAAAAAAAAAAAAAAAAAAAAAAAAAAAAAAAAAAAAAAAAAC